GGTTAGAAGAGGTTCCACCAGTGGACCCGGAAAGCAGGCCACACCTACAGAATAGGTTCCAAAAAAAATTGAACCCCACCACTGGTCTGGTGCCAACCTTGATCTCCTTCAAAACTTGAGTGTCAACAGGCTGGGGGTCCCAAGGAGATGGCCATCCAATGAGGTGGCTTCATTGTTTGTGATACCTAATGTTCTCTCCCAGCTTTTAATAATATGAATGTTTTCATTGTGGAATGCTTTTTTAAAAAAAATAGTGTTCATTTTTATGATATGCCACCCAGGGTCACATCTAGAGTGGTAGGCTGTATTAGGGACACGGTGGCTCAGTGGCTAAGACGCTGAGCTTGTCGATCAGAAAGGTCAGCAGTTTGGCGGTTCGAATCCCTAGTGCCGCGTAATGGAGTGAGCTCCCATTACTTGTCCCAGCTTCTGCCAACCTAGCAGTTCGAAAACATGTAAAAATGCAAGTGGAAAAATAGGAACTACCTTTGGTGGGAAAGTAATAGTGTTGCATGCGCCTTTGTCGTTGAGTCATGCCGGCCACATGACCACGGAGATGTCTTCGGACAGCGGTGGCTCTTCGGCTTTGAAATGGAGATGAGCACTGCCCCCTAGAGTCGGGAACGACTAGCACATATGTACAGCCTACTTTAGTAGGCTGTATTATTATGTATTTATACCTTTACCGAAGAAAGTGGGAAGTTACTGATTCACTTAAGAAGTGCAGCGATTCACTTAACAACTGTGGTAGAAAGATCATAAAACCAGGCACGACTGACTTGAAAACCGCCTTGCTTAGTGACGGAAATTCTAAACCCCCAATTGTGGTTGTAGTCTGAGGAATATTTCCTTCTATTTACTGATACTGGTTTTTTTTTTCCCTTTGTAAGTTTGTCTCTGCTGCATTGATAAATTCTGCTTTTATTTTATTTTTTAAATGGTAAGCAACTTTTTAAAGTCATCATCTTTGTTTAATGACTACATAATCCCTTGCCGGGTGGAGTCTGGGCCACTGAAAGAAGCTAGCCGAGTGATTACTGGCCGGATGCCCTTCCTGTCGCCAATGTGGAGTTTTGGTTCAGCAGATATATTCTCATCATGCCCAGAGAGAGAAATAGCTGCCTCTACCTAGAATCAAACTCAATGATCAGAACTGCAGTGATCAATTCTGTTTTTATTTTATTTTTAAATGGTAAGCCACTTTTTTTTTTAAATAATGGGCCATGCATACAGTATAAGAGCTAATCACCCTCATCCTCCACCCGAGCTACAGATGTTTTCCACTATTGCAAACATATATGCTTGTGAAATTTACACACACACACACACACAAACTTTTATTGCGTGTTAGGCTCTTTTGCAAGTTCGGTAACAGGTCGAAAGAAACTGACCTTAAAGAATCTCCAAAATTTGATTATTGCAAAAGACTCTTACTGGAATAACTGGTCCAATGTCACAGCTAATCCTCCCCCCCCCTTTGAAAAAAAAAATAAAGACCTTTTGTGACGTGGTGGGTGAGATTTACACGTCCACTGTCCGGATGTTATGTTTCTCACAACGAGACGGAGAGTAATGTGGAGTTTGTTCAGCTTGGCCCTTTCGCTGGACACACCCTTTGGGGGTGTGAATTCCCCCTTGGGAAATGAGCTCCCTTGGTTAAGTTCTCTAGTTGGTTAAGACAGACAAAAAATGCAGATGCGCTGAGACTGTTCTGGCCTTTGGCTATATATAGCGGATAGATTTGCTATTTTTACATTGATTATTCGTCAGAGAAGGGCAGGAATCCGTTCCCGTTTGGGTACAGATGGAAACAAAAATACGATATCGTTCTGATCGAGGCTTCCCAAGAGCATGAAGCAAGCTCCTTGTCCCCACCAAAAACCCCTTTGATTAATTGACTGTGAATTCTGCTCATTCACAAAGTCTTTCAAGGGAGGATTTACAGTCACAGACCTTATCTGGCTTGGAGAGCTGACAGGCCAGTGGTGGGTTCCAGCTCCCACATACATCCACACGAATGCACACATGCATACTTACCGCCCACATACTTACCGCCTGCACACAGCTGGCTCATATTTAAGTGATTGTCCACTAAGACTCTAAGGTCACCACGTTGTAGAAAAGATGCGGAGACTCTGGAAAGAGTGCAGAGAAGAGCAACAAAGAGGATTAGGGGACTGGAGGCTAAAACATATGAAGAACGGTTGCAGGAACTGGGTATGTCTAGTTTAATGAAAAGAAGATACGATAGCAGTTGAGGGGCTA